AAATATTAAAAGAAGAATATCAAAACGGTGCAATAACTATTTACTTGCAAGTTTTTACTAGTTTTGTGTTCAATAACTTTTTCTGCTAGTTTTCTCTTCTTCTCAATTTTACGCTCTACATATTTTGCTTTTACGCTCTCGCTGCAATTTTTTACTGGAGAAGTTGCTATACAAACCTATCGATAGTGAAAAACCAAACATGTTTCTGATGACGGAAATATGCTAAGCTGCCGGTTTGCATGGTGAGGTTGGGCGTACGGAAGGGTCAAAAATGGATGACAAAAAAATTTACTCGAGCGCGTCAGAAACTCACAAGGGATGTTAAATGGGCCTGAATGAACCTCCCATTCAATAATCTGACGATTCACTTGTGACGCAAGCTCGTGGCGTCTTCTTGAAGATGCAAAAAAATCGCCATTTGGATTTACTCGAGCGCATCAGATTTTCATACAGAAGGTTCATCTCGATGCGCTTGCCGTCCTGTTCCATAATCTGGCGATTATCTGGAGCGGTTTTCTTAATCTGACGGTTTAAAAAAATAATTTCGTTTCTGAGATGCACAGCCAACCAAACATATATTATTGTAAACACTTATTATTTTATTCGATTCGACTTGGTCGTAAATTTCTTTTATGTTTTCTAACAGATTGGAGAAATAAAAAATCGATTTGAAATCCAATTCGAGTCAATACACTTTTGAAATTCAGAGCGTATTGAAATTTGATTTATGCATCCGTTTAGAATCACAGCGAACTGGGTTAAAGCGCTTTATGTGTCGATATAAACAATTAGTTATGCTAGGTTCACATGTAAGTAGATTGAACAAGAGATTAGCCATATAAAATTCGTCCCTTCTTAATCTGTAATTATAAAATAATCTCAGATTTAACCGATAACTTTTCGGTGTCCATCCTAGTTTTATCGATTGTTTTTGCGAAAAAGAGGAGAAATGCCAAATTTAAAAGTAAACAAAAATGGACGCTAGCAAGGAAAAAGGTTTGTAAAGGTATTTTTAATAAAATGTTAAGTTAAAATATATTTATATTGCTTATCATAGCAGAAAAACGTGATCACGGTGACACAGAAGAAACATAACTTTTCCTTGAGATGTGAGAATAACAAGCACAACAAATTTGGCGGCTAATAATCTGAGATTTGCCCGTGTAAACTGGGTGATTAAAAACGAGCTTTGATTGAGGTAATATTGATATGTGAACATACTTTTAGTAAAGTTTCAAAGGTTGTATTTCATGTAACACCACGAGTGCTTTGATCGCCCATGATTGCGTGATACTATACTAAGATACTATAAAGAGTGAGCAAGAAGGGAGCGGAGTTTAGCATTTTTCATATATAAGTAAACTTAAGGTTGCCGAATTCAAAATAATCTGAAAAATGCATGTTTTTCTTACACACAAATTCTTATGCCTAGTGATTTTAGCTAAGAAATGAGTAAAATTCACATACATAAGTTAAAAAAGTAATTTTTAATTGATATGTGCTACTAATTTTTCTTAATATAATTTTAATCTAACTAGTGAACCCGCATGGCGTTAAGACACCAAAATTGAGTTTAACATTTTAAACAGATGGCAACACTGTTCACAAACCTTAATAAATATTGCAAATGTTTCAAGTAAATTCGTCCATCCCTTTTTGAACGAAGAGAGGTCTCACATGGCGCCGGTTTTTCATTTCCTCAAAATTCATACCACACTGTACCGTTAAAAAAAGTAGTAACTTCAAAAAATAAAACCTTAATGCACATTTAGAATGACGGTGCTGATTTGATGACCTTCACATAAAAGATCTGATGACCATAACAAAAAAAATATTTATTTATAAAAATTAACTCAAACTAATTTTTTCGGTATATTATGGGTTTATTCGAAAGAACCCGATTTCATCATGTGACTGTCTTCGCAGTAGCGCATTCTGTTAACCCAGTTCTCCAAGACCTTGGTGACGGTTTCTGGCTCCATCGCAAGAAATGTCCGACATACGCATTAAGGGCCTGAATCGTTATAAGATTTTTCGCAATATATCGGTCCTTTACGGCATGGCACAAAAAAGTCTAAGGGCGTGAAATCGCGGCTCCGAGGGAGTCAATTGTCTTCGTCGAGACAACTGATAACACAATTACTGAACTTTATCGCTCAAAATAAAAATCTAACAGATGACAACCCTAACAAAAAATATTTTCAAATTAAAGTTTTATTAAAACTCTTTCTTTTGCCACTCATATTTTAATAATCATTAAAATTGTGTAAAAGCTAAATAAATTAGGCTTTTCAAACATGTGGCAACCTTCTGCGAGGCATTTTCAACCTGAAATCTTTTAAAGCTCTTTCGTCTGATACTTTGATACATAATTCAATTACCTGAGGAATTAAGTTGAATTTAATTTTTTTATCACCTGGCAACCCTCCTAAACAGTTCAGATATAAATCCTTCTCAAACCCTTGAACGATTAAATCTCCTGTTTTAGTAATTTATTTAAATTTAAAATTTTCAACTGCAGGCAACTCTATTCAAACCATCAAACAAAATTTAATGTTTAAACTGAAGATTTCTTAGCACTCTTTCGTTAAACACCCATATTTTAATACTGCATATTATACATGGTTTTAACTATATTCACAAAAATCCTTTCGCGTATTATATATATAGATACTCCTTCGATTTACGATTATTTCAATCCTAATTCAAACTATTTTGAAACTGGGATTAAAGTAATCGTAACCGAAGACGCACTTAATTATACACGTAATTTCATCGCCCAGCTCTAATTTAGATAAAGGTTTTGATTCGCATATGCACATACTTACATCATACATATGTACATATTAGGGATGCCAAAATATCAGGAAAATTGGGATCCCGGGATTTGGGTATATTTTTTAGGTAATCCCGGGATCCCG